ACGCCACAATCCCTTCTCCTCCATTCTCCTCTCGGAATCTTGGGCACGCACGCACAGGCGCCCGGCAGGAGTTTTAAGCCACCGGGTCCAGGACGTGAACCGCAGTCGACTACATGGGAGTCCAGCGACATAGCCATTACGCCAACTGCTGGTCCCAGTAAAACGTTTTTGAAAAAATAGAAATTCTGGGAACCAGCAGATGTCATAATGGTTACATTGTTGTCCTCCCACGTAGTCGACCGTGGTTCGATTCCCGGACCCGGCAGCTTAGACTCAAGCTGGGCGCATGTGCGTGTGTGCCCAAAATTCCAAGATGAGACTGGAGGAGAAGGGATTATGGCATGGCCATCTCCCTGGGATGATTTCTTGCTTTCCGTCTCTCTGTCTCTGTCTCCCTGGCGAGCACATGTGTCACGTAGCAAAAGAGAGACTGAATTATGTGGGGGGTGGAGGATTGTCTTTGCCTCAATTTTTCCTCAAGGAATTTACCACTTGCGAGCGAGTGTTGGTAACATGGGTGATGTAGCGACTGATAGTATTGGCCCTCGGTGTGTACTTTAATGTTTGGTTTATGTGAATATTTTTATTTTTAAAAACAACTGACAGAGAGTTAAAGCACTCTGTCATAAGTCAGAACTGTGGAGACTCCTAATGGTATTTCGTATACAGAAGCGTGAACATTTACAGAGAGGACTCTCCCCAGGGCGGTGCGTGATGTGAATGGGGCGAGGGGTTTCAGTGTGATGGGACCAGCCACGTGGGGAAGGGGATATGAACAGACGGACGCAGGGGAGTGAAAGCAGGACGCACGTGGGACGTAACAGCCGGCTCACTTTCCTGTCCGCTTGGAGCAGAGCTTTGTATGGGAGCAGGAGGACGTGCCTTAGAGCGGGGCCTTGCACGCCAGGCCAAGCGTTTTGAAGTGGTGGGGACGTGCCTGGTGGCATCTGCTGGAAGGCTGAGCCAGGAAGCAGGAGGCTCTGGAGGACCTCTCAGAGTCAGCCAGACTGAGAGGCCAGCCTGAGCCGGGGTGGAGTGGCGGGGTGGGGAGAAGAGGCGTGGGGTCAATATTCAGAGGGAAGGACGTGGCAGCTTGGTGGTGACTGTCGGACGTGGAAGAAGGACGAGGCGAGGAGGACAGGACGGGGGGCCAGTCATGGAGCACACGGGGCAGGAGGGAAGGTGACCAGCTGGATGCACCATGTTAACTTCAAGGGCCAGGGCCCATGCCTCTGGGAGTGACACGGAGTTCTGGAGAAGGGAGGGCCGGGCAGAAGGCAGACCTGAGTGGCAGCATCGAAGTGGCTGTTGAAGTGACAGGAGTCAGCACTACCCACGAAACTCGTGTCTCCACCACCTGTAGTACCGTCAGTTCCACATTCACACGGTACCGTGAACAATTTCTTCTACTGGTACAGTCCGTTGTAGTTTACAAAGCACTTTTCATATTTCTTTAATCATTGTTGCATTCTCATACCCATTTAATGGCTCAAAAAATAAGGTTCAGAGATTTAATGACTTAGTCAAGATCCAAAGGTGGTCAGATGGGTACATGAATGTGCAGTCATATGTATGGGGAGTTGTTTTTAAGTAATTACTTGTTTAATTTATTATTATTATTTAATTCGACCAGAGAGAGAGGGAAAGTGAGAAAGCAAGCCACTAGGTCCAGGACTCAAACCACAGTCACCACAGTCAGCCATATGGGAGTCTAGCACTTAACCACCATGCCACCCCCTAGGGTTTTGTTTTGTTTTTACTGTAGGATGTTTTCACTCATCAGAGACAGGGTAGGAGTGTGTGTGTGGGGGGGTTACCCTGTGGGGTATATACCACAATCCCTTCTCCGTTCTCCCCTCAGGAGTTTGGGCATGCACGCCCATGCCCAGGGTGTTCTCAAGGTATGGCCATACCACAAACCCTTCTCCATCTCCTCTCAGGATTTTGGGCGTGCATGCACATGCCCAGGGTATTTTCAAGGTATGGCCATACCACAGTCCCTTCTGTGTCTCCTCTCAGGATTTGGGGCATGCACGCACATGCCCAGGGTATTCTCAAGGTATGGCCACACCACAGTCCCTTCTGTGTGTCCTCTCAGGATTTTGGGCGTGCACGCACACATGCCCAGGGTGTTCTCAAGCTGCCAGATCTGGGATTCAAACCACACAGTCAACCGTGTGGGTCCAGCTGCTTTAACCTCCATGCCACCTGCTGGCCCAGCTCCAGCCTTTCTAGTTGCACTAAAAATATCCTATAACTTTGCAGTATCCGAAACTCCACTTTCAAAAAAAAGTTTGAAATTTACCTTTATTGAAACCTGCCTGACTGGTATTTTTCTAAGGGGGGAAAAAAACCTTTATTTCCAGGGAGTTAAAAGTTGTTAATATTCTTTTGAATATCAAAGCTAGTTATCTTTAGCTTAAAGGTAAGATTTTTGACCTATCAGTAATTGAACCCATGAATGTCTTCTCATTTCCTCCCACCCGCGCCTCTCCGTGAAGACGTAGCCGTAGCGGTGACGTATAACCGTGACGGGTCATACAGCATGCAGGTAAGCCTCGCTGGTTCTGCTCTGCAGTCGGAGCAGGTCTGCTCTCTCCCGCCGCATACGGCCTTCCTTTCACTGCCTGGTGTCTCTTAAGCCTTTGACTATTATGACTAGAGTTAGGAGAATTCATGCTTTTAATTCAGACCAGTTGGGGAAGTTATCCCCTCTTCGGGTCTGACCCTTTACTCAGTTTGCTGTGGTTTCCCTAATAATAAAACTTGACACATTGTTAGTTTTGGTCAGACATCTAGAAAGTTCTCAAAGTACGTGCATGCGTGTATGTCAGAAGCCGAGTCTTCGCAGTTTTGGTCTTAGGAACCCTGTACTCTCGCAGAGACCATTGAGAACCACCTCCCGGCAACGAGCTTTTGTTGAAGTTAGTAGCATTTATTGATATTTGCTATAGCCACGCTGGTAGGTGTGCGATGGCAGATCATTGCAACTCATTCGCCTCTCCGTAACGGCAGCCGTGCGAGCATCTTCTGTGCTTACTGGTCATCTGTATATCTTCTTTGGAGAAAATTTGACTCCTTTGCCACCGGTTGTTTTAGTGTTATTGTTAAGCTGTAGGATAAACCCAGTAAAGCTTATTACCTAAGATTATTCAGTGCACATTCCATTAGCTAGCAGGAGCCCCTGGGACGTGCCACTGCGTACTCAGACTGAGAGGTAAAGGCGAATCTCGGCCTAGTCTTACAAGAGCTGTTTGACTTCGTAGACTTCCTGAAAGGGTGCTGGCAGTCGGGATTTGTAGGTCACCCTGTGAGAACCTGTAGTGTAACATTTATGATAGCTTCCAATGTCAACAAGTCACCGCACTGGCAAAAGGACATGAAAAAAGGCCGAAAAGCAATGCGGGAATTCAGTCTCACTCACACAGGTGTGCTCGGAACCAGAAGTGTTTCGGGGTTGGGAATTTTTGGCATTTTTAGAATATTTACTTGTACATAATGAAATATCTTGGAGATGGATACATGTCTAACCACAAACTACTTGTGTGTTATATACGTAAGTATGTATGTGTGTACTCATGTACGTACGTGTACGATGCATTAAACACACCTGTACCCATAGCCTGAAGATGACACCCTCCAGCACTGGGTACCGCGGTGTTTGGACTGCGACGCACCACGTGGTCCGGTAGAGACTGCCCACTTGTGTTGCGTTGGTGCTCTGAGAGTTTCAGATTAGGGAGCATTTCAGATTTTTGGACTCAGATGTTCAATCTGTAGTATGGTACAAATTCGAGGAGTAAAATGAATCATTTCAAATGTGAGCTAAGAGATTCCAGATCCTACAAAACGTATTTATAAATTATAGCGGCCAGCCCTCCCCGTATTGGAGACGCGTTAGCTTGCTTTCTTGAGGTTCAGAAAAACCGCGGAAGGTCTACTTAGTACTCAAGAATCACGGTGGTGTCATTGCTTCTGCTCTGGGGACCCTTCCTTGTCTTTGGTAAATAGTAGATCGCCAGTTTGTGCTAATCTGCTCGTGGGAATAGAGTTCCAAATTTAAAATGTATTTTGTGAATCTTTAAACAAAACTGTTTCCAATTTAACCTTTTTGTACCGAGAAGTTCAGAAACGTTCAGATGGCTGTTTGAGTAGCTTACAAAGCAGAGGGAAATGTCATGTCTGACTTAGGACCGTGAGAGCCAATGTATATTTGCAGTGGGACCTATTTCACCCTAGCCTATGTGGTGCATTTGAAAAGAATAGTCACAGGACTTCTAAGGTTGTGGAGATTGAAATGAAAATTAGAAAAAGAGGCAGTTTAAATGGATTTTCTGTGAATAAGGGATATTTGCTCTCTAGTGTATATGTGAGAAAATATTTTTTAAAGATTTATTAAAATTGATTTATTTTTTCATTCATTTATTTATTTTAATTTGACCAGAGAGACACAGAGAAAGAGAGGTTTGGGACTTGAACTGGGGTCAGCCATGCGAGAGTGTCCAGTGCCTTAACCACCATGCCACCTGGTTAAAGATGTTTTTATCCTTCTGCCAACTTTCCTAAAACATTTGGTCTGCATGTTAATAAGGTAAAGAAATGCCATCTGGTTATGTGGTTCTGGCCTTTTGGATTCTGACTTTGGCGTGGGAGACTGAATTCGATCGACTTCAGGTACTCAGAAGTGAGTACCACCATGTAATACACAGGAGAATTTTAACAGTTTCCTTCATTTGATTCGTATTTTTATTTCACATTTTTATTACTATTTCTTTTGTTTGTTTTGGTAGAGGACACATGCCTTTCAGAGAGAGGAGGAGAGGAGAAAGCATCGTCCCATGAGGAAAGACCACGCTGCACTCCCTCCTCCGTTCTCCCTCCCTTTGGGATTTGGGGTACAACGACACACGCACCTGACACGTTTCTCGAGCCACCAGATCAGGGACTCGAGCCGCGTGGCTGGCCGTGTCGAATCTGCTGCTTCAACCACCAGGCCATGGAGCTGCCTGCTATTCTTTCAATTCTTGAATAAACTTATTTGTAGCTTTATGGTGCTATTGATATGGAGCTATTTATTTTCATTTAATCATCTTACTTATCCATATGGCTTCTCAAGGTTTTGGCTAGGAATCTTAGGGGCAGTTTCTACATGACTTGTTAGAATACGTGTTGTCAGGCAGTAGGCAGCATGGTGGCAAGGCTCTAGACCCCACAGGGCTGGCTCTGCAGTTGAAGCATTGGACCCAGTGGCCTGAAACATACGCTGGGCGCAGGTGCGTGTTTTCCCCAAATCCCAGGGGAATGGAGGAGGGATTATGGGCTGGCCAGCCTCCAGAGGGCGATTTCTCACTTCCTCTCTCTCTCTCTCTCCAGCAAGGGCACACGCCCTTTTTTTTTAAATTGTCTATTTATACATTGCCTTTTGAACATACTAATGACAAAGGATTGATTCTGAAATCATTAACTCTGCAGCACCGTTCATTTATTTAAAGGTCTTATTTTCTGTTTTGCAGATTGAAGACAGGACGTTCCACGTCCTTGGTGACCTCTACAGTGAGGGGGGCTGCACGTACCTGAAGTGCTCTGTGAACGGAGTTGTTAGCAAAGTGAAGCTGATCGTCCTGGGGAACACCGTTTACCTGTTTGCCATGGTAGTGTCTCCTCTTAATAACCTCACTCTTGCAGTGTGGGAGGAACGTGCATGACCAGAGGCATTCCACTGACAGACCAGGCCCAGGCTGCTCTGACCTGTGACCTTTCTTCCTTGGGGCTCCCTCTCCGCTCCCCGTTCCTGCCCTCGGCAGTTCTCCATTCACGCCTCTGTTCACTCAGTCTCCCCGACAGACACGCACCCGCTTTCTACTTGGGTCTAGAAATAAACGCTCACTCTTGTCAGAGTATCTCCCTGCCCAGCGGACGGCACCGTCTCAGGGCTCCGACGTCTGGACACTTTTCCCCAGCCCCCGCCCCCTGACCTTGGGGTCCTGGTGATGTGGAGGAGGTGACCACTGGGACAGGAGTCTGTGGCCCTCGGAGAAGGCGGAAAGGACGAAGGCAGAGGGGGTTAGTGGTCTCTCGGCTGTCAGATGGCTATGAGAGTAGGCTTGGCGTGGTCTTCGTTAATAGCTTGTTGCTCAAAAAGCTCTTACGGTTCTCCCTGGGCAGAAGGAGAAAACGGATTATTAAATATACTGTGGGCTTGGGGCCGGCAGGTGGCGTGGTGGTTAAGGGCGCTGGACTCCCACATGGCTGACCATGGCTCAAGTCCTGGACCTGGCGGCTATCTTTCTCACTTTCTCACTGTCCCTCGCTTAAAACAATACAGTGTGGCCTCCTGGGAGTGTTCTCGCGTCCGGGAGCCATCTTCCTGGTCACAGTGGTTTGTGCTGAGGGGTCGTCAGTGTTCTAGTAACTGAACGGCTGTATCTGGAATTGGGGATGAGGCCGCTTGACCGGACACTCCTGTCCCGTCAACCTTGCTATAACAGTATGGTGGTAGAAGTGGTCTAATGGGGTGGTGAAGAACATGCATGTGGGACATGAAGCTGCTGGGTTCAAATCCTGGCCATGCCATTTAACAGTTGTGTGACACGGGGCAGTTAAACTCCCTGGACTTCAGTCCCCATCCATAAACAGGAGTGGCACTGCTACCTACCTCACAGAGTTGGGACAATTAACCACATAATGTATACACATGTTAAGAACAACCCCTGGAGGGGCCAGCAAGTGGTGTGGTGCTTAAGGCACTGGATCACGCGTGACAGATACCACAGTTCCAGTCCTAGACCGGGCTGCTTGAAGATCCTGCTGGGCACGTGTGCATGCATGCCCAAATCCTAAAAGAGAGTGGAGGAGAAGGGGTTGTGGCGTGGCCATCGCCCCGGGGGTGGGTTCTCATGTTCCCTCTCACTGTCTCTCTGGCAAGCACAATCACCCTGTGGAAAAACAAAGCAAAGCAGAACAAAGCCTGGCATAGACCGAGCACTCGCTAGTGGGGATGCCAGTAAGGGTGGCTGCCAGGGCCAGCAGGCGGTGCGGTGTGCTGGGTAGGGCACTGAGCTCCGACGTGATTGGCCGCAGTGGGAGCAAGACCTGGCCGCATGCTCTCTCACTTTTCCTCTTTCTCTCTCTGTCTCGGACTAGTGATAAGACATGCTCTAAAGCAAATTTTAAAATAATAGTCGATAATTAAAATTAAATAAGTAAATGTTTTTTCTAAATGGCTTTTGGATCGTGGCAGACTGTTACCTACAAATTATATACTTTAGTTATTTTTAAAGAATTATTTAATTCCATTTGCTATTATTATCATTATTATTATTTGAATTTGGCCAGACAGAGAGAGAGAGAAAGGGAAAGCAAGAAGGCAAGCTTCCAGGTCCAGGACTCGAACCATGGTCGGCCATGTGTGAATCCAGCACCTTTAACCACCACACCACCTGCTGGCCCCTAATTTTTTTTTAAGAGATTTTTGCTATAGGGTGCATGTGCTTGCCAGAGAGACAGAAAACAAAAAGTCATCCCCTGGGGTGATGGGGTGGCCACAATCCTTTCTCCTCCATCGTCCTCTAGGGATTTGGGGAATGCACACACACATGCCCGGAGTGAGTTTTAAGTTACCAGGTCTGGGACTCGAATCGCAGCTGACTACATGGGAGTCCAGCGATGTAACCATTATGCCATCTGCTGGTCCCTACCCTTTAATATTTTAAATCCCCTATGAGGCATGTATACCATGAATCATTTGTATTTGGTGGGGGAGGTTCAGAGATTTTTGGTATAGGGCACATGTGCTCGCCAGAAAGAGACAGACAGAAAGCGAGAAATCACCCCGCAGAGGGGAAGACCATGCTGCAATCCCTTCTTCTCCATTCTCCCCTCAGGATCTTGGGCACACACACACACGTGCCCAGTTTGAGTCTATGCCACTGGGTCCGGGACTCGAACTGCGTTCCACTACATGGGAGTCCAGCAACATAGCCATTATGCTGTCTGCTGGTCCCTACCTTCAATTATTTGTAATGGGAAACCAAGACTGAGAGGGGATTAGTCATCTGCTCGAAGTCACCAAGCTAGATTAGAGCCTTCGTTCGTCCGTTTTGTAACAGGTTTCCGTGCTGATGGGACTCATCCAGTGGAGCAGGAGCAGCTGAGGGTCCAGGAGAGACGGGGGGAGCAGTCCGGGCAGTGCACTGTGGGAACACGAAGGGTGGGTGGAGTGCGTGGCTGGAGACACGTGGCCTGTGCCCGCTCCCTGCCTCAGGGTCCGCAGTTGAGGAAGCAGGAGCATGGGCTGAGGAGGCACAGGGGGAGCAGGGAGCGTGTGCAGGGGGGTTGGTTCACTCAGCTGAGCGAGCCAGGGAAGTCCCTGTGGTTCTGAGCTGCTGGGGACCCTGGGCCTGTTGGCTAGCACTTAGCAAACAGCTTGGAAGCAGTGGTCAGTGGTCAGGGCCGTGCGTGCGGAAGTGCAGCGGTAGGTCTCGGTTATCTTACTTTGCCGTTCGTCCTCTCTTCATAGGAAGGGAGTATAGAGATTGGCACTCCAGTCCCGAAGTACCTGTCCCCGGCGAGTGCAGGAGGTGCTCAGGGCGATGCCATCGCTCCTATGACCGGGACCATCGAGAAGGTAACCATGTGCCATCTGCAGTGTGACGCTCGGGGACGTCTAGTCCGTGTCTTTGTCGAACTCTGTCACGGTTCCCTTCCCCTCTGAGTCGTGCCTTGGGAAAGCGCTCATTCCAAGAAAGTCCAAGGCTCTAGGGAACCAGCAGTTAGCGTAATGGCTATGTCGCTGGACTCCCACGTAGTCGACCGCGGTTCGCGTCCCAGACCCGGTGGCTTAAAACACGCCGGGCGCGTGTGCATGTGTGCCCAAGATCCCGAGAGGAGAATAGAGGAGAAGGGATTGCAGCGTGACCATCCCCCCTGGGGGGTGATTTCTCGCTTTCTGTCTCTATGTCTCTCTGTCTGTCTGGCGAGCGCATGCGCCCTATAGCGAAAACCTCTCCAAAA